TCCCAAAATATTTCTTTGAAAGCCAATTAGGCTAAAGTATTCCACAATTTTTGATAAGTTTTGGAACACTACTGTAATTCGTAACAAGTTAATCGTACTGAACTCCTAACATCAAATGGGACCAACGTGCAGATGATTCTACAGAGGAGGACGCTGTTACTCCTCGCTTCAAAGCTGTATCAGCAATTTAGCTTCGAAATTCGTGCGCTTCATAAGACTGTTCTACGCACCCATCAACTCCTTTTTGATCACGGGATTAATTTTGTAAAAAATATGTTTTACTTGCTGATACTCTGCTTTCGCGTACAACAAAAAGGGCTTAAAAAAGTATTATCATTCTTGTTAAAAAAAAAAAAAAAAAACAAAAATAACACAACAAAATAATAATAGAGCGAACAGTTTTAAAGAAAAAAGACTGGAAAGACAGCTTCCAGCCTGAAATGTTCCAAACTCTTCGCAATGCAAAATTAAGGAAGTAGGAGCCTTAATAATTTTTTCATGTTTGTAATCCAAATTGTCGAGATGTTTTTATCATTTTAACCACTTGTTCGTGAGGCCTGTTAGCCACTTTGCAAGCATACTAACAGTACCGGAAAAACAATCATGTGCCAGTTGCAGCTGCTTCAGTCCTTTTGTCTCTGAATCGCCTATTGTCCTTGATCGCTTTTACCAGATTAACTTTGAGGGGATGTTCTTTTTAAACTTATGTGAACGAAACTAGGTTTAACTTCTTCTTATCCACTGGCAGCGCTCGGATTTAAGTCTTTCGGTTCCTCAAATCCTAAAAGTCTAATATTTATAAAAATGTCCATCGGATTTCGTAATGTTCTGTCATTTTTCACCATCCAAAACTTTTAACTTATCCACATTAAAATTCCTTTGTGAGGTACGAAATAAAAAATTTTCTTGGAATATTCTCGGACTAAAATTTGTGTTCTCATTTGTTTTCATAAACCAAACGAGGCAAATACGCATTTGACTTTGATCCGAGTTTTTTGCACTGAAAGAGCCTTCTAGCAAAAAAAATTACCACCAATATTTTTAAAAGCAAGGTCAAGATATGCATTCCACTGCGGTATAAATTTAAGCATCAAAATTTCCCGAGCAACCAAGCATTTAAATATGTGGCTTAGAATTGTTTTATTTCTGCTGTGGCGATCTATATTATTCCTTGAAGTTTCAACACTATTTGAGATGCTGTGTAGCAGTTTGACCAAGCAGTAAATAAGACTTAGCTTGCAAAAGGCATGCTGGGGAAGTTGAAGAAGTGTCTCCTTAATTTTTGAATAATTCACTAAAACAGTGACACAGCCAGGGGCCCACACAAATCAGTTACTTATGGTAAAATGCTATCACTCGGTTTAGTTAAAATAAGTTTGTACATTCGGATTTTTGTGGGAGTAAGTCATGGCAAGGAAGAAATCAGTTTTTGCAAGTTCTGCCGCGGCAGCAGCAAAACATTCGCCTGATCGTACGCCGGAAGCTCTTATTTAAGCATGTATAGATGATTGGATTGAAGCACGAATGAGCATAGCCAAGCCAGGATGAAACCATGAATAAGCTAACATGCAGGCGCTTGTTGACTGGAATACTGAGCCCAGTGCAGATACCGCGATACACCGTTATGCAAAAATACGGGATCCAACAAATCAAAAATGCAACTGAAATGAGTAATATATTTTAGCACTCTGATACTCAAATAGTGCTCGCTACTTAGGTGCTCCGTCTGCGGCATGCTCAAAATTCGGGATAATACTGTTGAAATGAATACGAGCCCAAAAAAAAATTCTCATCCAGGCTTCTCTGTGGTCCGATTTTCTGGCAGCGAATGCTCTTCGCTTATATGTAAAGTTAAATATGAAAATAATATGGCAGCTAATACGCATTTGTGAAAGGTTAAAATGCAGTCGCATTAAAACAATTGCGCTTGTCTTACCGGCACTAAGTGATGTTATAGGTCGTTTAGAGCGGTATGCAACCACAAAAAGCTCTGTCTAACACTTCACTCCTGTGCACTGCAAAAGACCGAAATTTTTTAATGTAAGAGTTACCAAGTATAGCAGCAACAACTCTTGTGGCCCGAGTTTCCCGCTTTATTGCCAACGATTCACGACGCTTTCGTCGAATTGCATGTGTCACCTATAACTTTAAGAATTCCCGTACAATTTGA